GCAGTTTAAGAAAAATTGATTTCTCTGATATAATTCAATATAGGAATAAAGTAGCTAAGAGGAGCCATTTAACTCTGTTTATTTTTATCTTTATCTGTGTAAAGCAGTACTGGGTACTACACAGAGTGGTCTGAAAAGCAGTTTAGGAGGTAAGCAAGCTTATTCTTCCTCACACAGGCAGCAGGTCTGGAAAAGCTGCTTTCATAAATATGGCAAAAGTCACACCAAACCCCTTGGAAGTTTGTATGTCACAGTGAGCAGAGGAACTGTTAATGAGAACAGGATAATTGTCACTAAACATTAATTTCTCTCTATTTATTTTGGTTCAAGGTCAATTCTGATGTTATTTCTTCCCTTGCCAAGTTATACCAAACACTCTGCCCAAAGGTGTTGCAGGCAGGAGAAAACAAAGACTGAATTAATCTCTGATGGGAACTGGAAAAGTCATTTCAGGATCCTTTGAGGTTACTGCTGAAATCCTTCTAGGAAATACCAGAAATCAAAGGAGAGGAGAGAGCATCTGCTCATCAACTCCAGCTCCATGCACAGGATGAGGATGAAGGACGTGCCCTGGTCCTAAGAGAAGGCAGGGCCAAGCACTTGAGGTCCCAGCCCTCCTCCTGAAACACAACCAGACCCTGAATCCAAAGGGATTTTATGGAAATCAAGCCATCTAAAGCATCCGGTGACACTTCCCTAAATAAAGCAAAATGAGCAGCACAAAGCACCACCATTTTGTAACGATTGCCCTGAAATGCACAACAACTAATTAAAAGGAAATAAGAAAAAAACACTCTGAAAGACTAATGGGCACTGAAAGTAATTTGCTCGCAGAGATCAGGGAAAGCTTATTTCTCTGTGACAGAACTATAGGCACAAATCTCAGAGAAGCCATCATTTCTTAGGGCAGTCGATAGCTGAAGCATTCCCTGCAAAAATATTGGGTTGAAATACAGAGAAACTAGAATATCCCCATACACCATAAAGAAAAATAAACATTAGGGTGATAAAGTACTTCCTCTCTTGTCAAAAATGTATTGCTAGATGTAAAATCATGGCAAGCGAACCTCATGCATGAGGTTTTTAAATTCGGGCCTCTGTAGAAATGTGCTCTAACAGGATGATGTTTGTTTTCCCTGGCTGCTGCTGGCCCTGGAGAGCCCCCAGCCATTGTGCTCCTGCAGGAGGAGGATTTCCGCTAGTAAACCTGCCAGGGGAACACGACCAGGCATCCCAGGAGCTGCATTTCCTTCGGAGAGTGGAAAACCCCTGAGTGCCAGGAGCTGTTCCATGACAAAGTCGATGTCAGCGGCCCAAGGTCCAGCAGGTGAAGTCACGTTTGCTTTGAGCCTCTGCATAGGCTGGTCAGGGAAAGGAGATGTGGGCACTGTCTAAAGGACAAAAGAGGAATTCCCTATGCTTTGAAAAGTACCATTCCAAGGATGGAGGGAGCCCACTGGGGAACTCACACCTCCTGAGCCGTTTGCCAGATCAGCTGTGGACAGACGTGCCCCATGTGCGTGTCCCTGCAGAGCCGGGGCAGCTCCAGTGCCCGGGCTCACAGCTGCTCCTCCTTTCAGGACAGTTTCACTGGTCACACAGCTGGAAGGAGTGGTTTTGTGCACATTGCCTCTCAGTTACTACACCTACAGAAGCTCCCTTCACTCCTCCTGCCTTAGCACGGAGCAGTTCTCCTCACACTGCTGCACCGACACTGGATGCACATTTCCCATAAACCAAACTGGGTCATTCATTTCTCCTCCAGAACTCCTGATTCCATCTGACTGTTCCACCACAGCCCTACACCACATGCACAGACAAGCTCTCTCCAGCAGATCAACCAGGCTTCCCCAAGAACTGCCACATCCTGCAGTAATTTTTTCTGCGGTAATTTAGTTATAAAAGAGACTTTTGAGAACTGTCACCTCATTCTTACCTGTTCAGCTTGCTCCTTCCTTGTGCACCTGTGGACAAGCAGCGCAGCACACAGCTCAGGATCCTCGTGCAGGCAGGGAAACCACAGCTCCTGTTTAACCCTTTGGGCCTCACATCCTGTCTGGTGGAGCTCCTGGGGCAGGTGGGATCCACCGTCTCTCCTGGTCATCAGCACTGCCCCTGCTCCAGCCCCTCACCTGGGCAGAGGACGCTCCCCAGCCCGTGCCCAGCACTGCATCCTCTGGCCGGGTGGGTTACAGCTCCCTTTTCCCCCAGGACGTTTGGGCAGCTGCGCTGTGCCAGGCTCAGTCCCCACCTTTCCCATCAGGAAGAAGGAATTGGGCCAACAGCAGGTGGGCTGTGTCTGCCCCTCAACAGCAGCCACCAAACAGAGCAGGCCTCTGGGAAGGAAGAAGAATTCCTAAGAATTCCTAAGCACAGGATTTATTTCAAAAGGCAGCAGGCAAACTGCTGGATTGCTTTATTTACCAAATAATTTCATTACTTCATCTGGACGGTTATTTGTGAGACCTTCCATCCTGCGACTCGTATGTGGCCGTGTCAGGAAGTGAGGCAAGAGTGCAAGAATGAGCAAAGCAGCAGTTAAATGTTCCATTTCAGTTATGTGGGTCAAAATCTCAATAAGACCCAGAAAACTGAAAGGAAAATGAAAATGAGTCTTGCAGGCACCTTGCTCCGGCATCAGGTCCCTGCAGCGCTCTGCCCCCGGGGCTCGGGGCAGCCCCTGGTGCTGCTGATCCAAAAGCTGCTCTGACAAACAGCAAAGCTCAGAGTGTTTCCATGAGTGTGCCTGCACACCTGGGGGGCTCCAGAGGCCTCGGGGGGCTGCCGGGGTGGCCTCACCTCACCAGCCAAAGGACAGACTGCCCAGAGGGTGAAGCTCCTCCTGGGCTCCAGGAAGACTATTTTTAGCTTACATATTTTTAGAAAGTGAAAACCAAATTGAGACCAGAAGTCAGCTGAACTGGTATCTTCATTACTGTCAACATGAGCAGTGAAACTCTGAGCTGCCAGTGTGGAGTGACATGGTCAGGACACCTCTGCTGCTGGGAATCCTCACAGAGGTGTCCAGGGCAGCCAGGCAGCACCCCTCACACAGCACTGTGAGGGACCCACGGCCCTGTGGCAGCCTGAGTGGGAGTCCTGCTCTTCTGGAGGCATGTTCTTATCAGTAGTTACCAAAACCATGCAGAGCAGCAGCTGCTGTGGCACAGGGCACTGCAGAGGCAGCTGACCCCTGAGCAGCACTGCCTGGGCATGCTGGGGCAAAAGGTGATGGGAACAAAGGCAAACCTGGGAAATGCCCTCTAAATGTCAGGAAAAACATTGCAGGACATGTTACACATTCCAAGCTGCAGAGGACCTGAGGCTTGGTTGGGTTTGGAATGAATAAGAAATAGATCCATGTGATTTCTCGTGGGTGTGGAGCTGGTTGTGAATTCCCTGCAAAGACAGGCTCCTGCAGCTCACACCTGGAGAGCAGCCTGGGCACAGCCCAGTGTCCTGGCCCTGTGTTTACCTGGAAAGTGGCTGCAGGGCTGGGAGAGCCAGGGCAGCCCCCAGCCCCTCGCCCTGCCCTCACCACTCTTCCCAGGAACAGTTATTTTTAGGTCACTTACTGCCACTAAAACATACTTGGACTGTTTTCAGAATGACTCACAGCTGAATTCCTGTTCTGGAGGCATTTTCAGTCCACACCCAAAATAAGGGAAGACAAAATAAAATGAAACCAAAAACACCCCGTCTGAATGAGAACCAAAGCCCGTGTCCAGCTGTGCTGATGCCGATGCCTGCAGCCAAGTGTGGCTCTGCCTGGGGGAACCTGCACCGCTGCCCATCACCTGCAGCCACACCTGCACCCACCTTAGCCCTGCCTAGCCCAGCTCGGGTGTGCTTTGGAGCTTTAGGAATTCAATTTCTCCGTGTACTACTCAGGAGTAGAAGAATTAAGTAGAGAGGAGCATGTATGTGAAGCTTGAACGTAGTGGCTTATATTCTCTTTTCTATCCCACATTAAATTGCAAAAGCAGCAGCAGCAGAGTAAATTGTGTAACGATTAGAGGCTTCACTCATTAGTTTAGGGAAATGGAAGCCATGGAGACGAGAGATGGCTGCTAAAGCAGAGGCACAGGGCAGGGCTGTCAGCAGGGGAAGGAGCAGAGCCCACAGGTCTCTGAGTGCTGGGAGGTGTCTGGGCTCTGTCTGGGGCTGCCCAGCCGAGGAGAGCCTGCGGGGAGCAGCACAGGGCCGGGCAGCTGCTGAGACCTGCACTGGTGTGGGAAAGCAGGGAGGGAACGCTGGAGCTCTGCTCAGCACTGGGGTCCCTCGCACGGCCTCTGCCTTGGCTCCTGTCTGGTGATGGCTCTGTGGGATGTACTGACAGCAAGAGCAACATCTGGGGCTGTGGCACCCGTGGGTAAGTGCCGTGCCAGTGTCACTCAGGCAGAGCCCTTGGTGACTCTGCTCTGCTCAGTGGACACAGCAAAACAAATAACTGAGTATATTAATCCATAAAAACTGTCACTACACACTGTTTACAAAGAGAAACCAGCTCCTGGCCATCGGCACAGGGGCATGGGATGCCACATGCTGCACAGACACCTCTCTGGAGAGGGCACCCAGCGTGCCCGTGGCTCCAGCCCTGCCTTGGGGCTTGGGCTGGACTCCTTGGGCAGAACTGAACCCAGACAAGACCAGGGCAGTGACACCTGGATGCTGTTAGGCTGGCAGTGCCTCCTCTTCCAGCAAACCCAGCCTCGAGGAGGAAATCTAAATTGACCAAGCACCTTGAGCTTCTGCATGGCTGAAAAGCAAGTTTCTTCCACATTTGTGCAAAGAGCACAGGGTCACCCCCCTGGCAGGCACAGAAATGCTGCTGCTGTGTGGGGCTGGGACCAGACCCTGCTGTGATGGCTCTGTGACAGGGCACAGGCCCGTGTGACATGGACCGAGGCAGATGCTGAGGTCTCACGGACACTCCGGAGATCAGCAAATCAAGTAAAACAACACAGAGGAGACTTTTCCTAGGTTTTTGAGCAGTTTATTCTCCGGGGCTGGTGCCCCCAGCGCAGCAAAGCACATTGCAGGTGACTGACCCATCAGAGAGCAGAACCCAGGCTGGGCTGGGTGAGCCCTGAGCCATCCCGGTGCTGGGGAGCAGGGGGTCCCTGGCAGGGGAGGGGGCTGCCCACAGCCTGCCCACGCTCCCTCCCAGCAGCCTGGGCCAGCCCAAGCTCTCAGGAGCTCAGTGCTCCATCCATCTTTCCCTGTCTGCTTGGAGTCAGGTCAGTCCTTTGGAGAGCAACTTGTGCTGCTGATCGATCCTGCAGGGAGCAGGCAGGGACTGGCTCTCATTAGCTCCTGGTTCATTAGTAGAACCGCTAATGAAGTGTGAACTCTGAGGTCTAAATTCTGCTTCAGGCCATAGATTCCGTGAGAACTTATGGACAGTTATATTGAAGCTAGGTAGCTCCATACCCTGCTAAGTGGCAGTGTGAGTGCCTGGCTGTCCTGGTGACACATGAAGGCACGTTTTGCCCCAGCCCAGGTCCACGTTATGGCTCACAGAGCAGCTGTCTGGGAGCAGCGTGTTTGCCCTCAGAGAGCTGACCTGGTGGCCTTCAGATGGCAGTGTCCATGGGCTGTGGGGTATCCACTGAGGGCAGGGTCCTGCTGGGAGCGAGCAGAGCATCCCTCCTGGTTTGCTGGAGGCAGCTCAGCAGGCGTCTCCTGGACAGTAAGGTAACAGGTGCATTTAGAAGAACACAGGCAGCTCATACCTATTCTATTGCATAAATAAAGTTATCTAAAAAAATGGCACATTGCTGAATGCTCTCCCTAAGAGAGTTTCCTCCCAGACCTCTCCCACTCCAAGAGGTCTGCGTACTCATTCACTTCCCAGTGGTTGTCAGCCTGCCCAGGAGCTGTCTTGTTCTGGCCATCAGCATCTCTCTGAAGTGGTCCCCCATCAGGAAATAAAAAACGGGATTAATGGCACTATTTAGAAAGGCAAAGGGTCTGGTGATGATGTAAACGGCGCTGATGACTCCCTGCGTGCACTCGGAGACGTTCAAGGCCGGGATCCGGGACGCGATCCGGACGTTGCGCATGACGTGGTAGGGGGTGAAGAGCAGGGAGAAGATGACCACGGTGAGGATCACCAGGGTCAGGGGCTTCTCCAGGGTCAGGGCAGAACGGACCTGCTCGCTCCTGCTTTTCAGAAAATGAACCATCTTCAAGTAGAAGCAGCACATGGTCAGCAGAGGAATGAGGAAACCGAGGACCGTCAGGAACATGCTGTAGATGAGGCTTTTCCCGGGGTCTCCCGAGCTGGCGTAATCAAGGCACTCGTCATTATCGGCAGGTGTTAGAGTCTCCAGGAAATGCAACAGCGGCAGCTGCTCCAGGATCACCCCGATCCATATGGCAAGGGACACCGTGACAGCCGTTCTCCTCTTCTGCAGGAGGTGGTCCCTGAAGGGGTGCTTCATGAGCATGTACCGGTCAACGCTGATGGTGGTGAGGAAGAGGATGCTGCTGTACAGGTTGGCGTGCAGCAGGAATCTGTTGCTGTGGCACAGGATGCTCTCCTTTGCCCACTGATCGTTGGAGTAGCTGTTCACCAGTATTGGCAGAGTGCACAGAAGTAGCAAATCTGATATGGATAAATTGAACAGGTAGATGTTGCCGCTTTTCCATTTTTTCAGGCAGAAAATATAGCCAAATACCACAACGGTGTTTCCAATGGCACCTAAAATGAACTCAAGGCTGTACATGGTGGGGAGATAATACTTTTCCAGTACTCTGTTGATCAGAAAACAGTCACTGGTCTCGTTCGCAGCCTGGAAAATAATAAAAAAAAATAAACACCAAACCCAAGTAAAAGATCATTGCGCAGTTATTGTTATATCATTGCTGTAATCAGTGAATGCAGCGTGCTATTTCCTTCCAGCCTACAGGGTAAGTAGATATGTGACCTCAGATGTCTCTCACACATGGGATTGGTACTTGCAGACACTGATCAGTTACAGAAGAAGATGAAAAGTTGCCTGAGCGAAGACCTGTGTGAGGAACTCGAAGTGGGAGCATCAGCTGATGAAGGCATCAGTCACTGCGTGCCAGCTTGGCCACAGCCAGGGCAGTGCCAGGGGCCAGGAAAGTGAAACCAGCCCGTGGGTGCCCTGTCAGAGCCTCGTGGAGTCATCTGCCCCTGTTACCCAACGCCGGCCCCGTGGTCCTCCCTCATCACCGAGGCAGAGGTTTGCTGACAAGGCTGGTGCTCGGAGCTGCCTGGGGAGCCAGGAGAGATGTGTTTGTTAAATGAACCCAGCCCTTAATTGAGCACTTTGTGTGCTGTGCTGGAAACTGGGTACCAGAATTGCACAGAGGATGGAGCACATCTCCTGTGCATTCTGCCAAGGCTTTCTTCAAAGCTGCACCACACGTGAGTTTGCTTTCTTTCTAAAGGCTGGTTAAAAAACTGCTTTCAGCTACAAGGAAGGAAATAGAGCAGGATCTTTACTCCTCTCCCTCCTCAGCAAAGCCACCTGCCCCTGCCACAGGACACAGACAGCTTTCGGTGAGAGCCTCAGATAAAGTGTCAACAGACAACTGGAAAGCAGGGAAAGCCAAATGCCAGAAACTGGGATATAGATTAAAACTGAACTCAAGCTGAGGTTAAGCATTTCCAAAGGTGTTTTGGTATCAAGAACTTGTTCCCAGGTCTCTATCCTCAAAGCAGAGATCAGTTGTATTTCATTTTGAAGGGAATCATGAGGCAGAACAAAAACTCCATAAAGCCATTTCCATCGAGCCTCTACACTTACTCTGTGCCCCCCAGGAGACAGAAATGCTACAGAGAGTGCTTGCTCTGCTCAGACCTCACCTGCTGAGCCCTGTCTGATCAGTTCTCGAGGAGAAACTCAAGACCTTAGTGAGATTCTAAATCTAGAAAGCACATCACAGACATCAGCACCTTAAATAGCGATGATAATTGAACGTTTGTATGGAGAGCTGCATTAGTTTAGCAAGTAGTTAGGAAAAGGCTGACAGATGATTTTTAAGGTAAGAGGGTGAAGCAGTTGGAAGCCCACTCAGAGGTGGTGGAACAGAAGAGTGCCCTGGAGCCCTTACCATGCCGGTGCTGCCTCGCCGCTGGCGCTGCAGGTGCCAGAGCCGCGGGCTCACAGCATTTAATCACGCTCAATCATTAACGAGGCCCGGCCGAGGCGGGAGCTGCTGGGCTGAGCTCCGAGGTGCCAACACCACTTCCCCTTGGCGGGGAACCAGCCCGGAGGGGAGGGCAGCCCCTGGCCTGAGGGACAGCCGGGGCGCAGGAGGAGCAGCGCTTACTCCTCCCGCAGCGGCGCATGGCCACTGCACAGCCCGCTGCTTCACTCTGCATCGCTATGTAATTACTGGCAAAGATCAAATACAATAATGCTGCTGATGCAGAGTGACCAAACCCCGCAGTGACCAATTCCAGCCCTCTGCCGTGGGCAGGGACACTTCCACTAGACCAGGCTGCTTCAAGCTACGTTCAACCTGCCCTTGAACATCCTCAGGTATGGGGCAGCCACAGCTTCTCTGCCTTCCCCCCTCCTCCCCTTTATTGTGATGGACTTCACAGTTAGCAAATATTAACTCTATTAATATATATAAAAAGCTATTGTAGCTTTTCTCTGTGGACAAGGCCAATAAATCAGCTTATATTAAGACATTGCAGAAGCTGATTTTAAATTTCCCCCATGGCTAATAACTGACATTGGCTTCTCATTTACAGCTTTTAAATGTCTTGTTCATTCAGGGAACTGCTGTTGCACTGAAGGATTAAATAGGGCTGAACAAATGGAGCATTTCTTCCTTCCTGCTGCAGTAACTCCTCAGAGAACTGGTGAGGGAGCAAGAAATGCTCCTTAATGTCATTTCAGTAGGCTTAGATCGGTCCCTGCTTTACAGCTCTGTGACTATTACTTCAGCTGGTTGTACTCCTAAGCAGTTTTCTAACCCTTGGTTATTCTGAGGCTGTCCCAGTCACTCGTGCTGGCACCTGTAGGTCCCCTGCCTCTCAGCAGCCCTGTCTGTAGGACACACCTGGGCTGGGTCTCAGCAGCAGGCTCTGTGGCTGCCGCAGTGTTTGGTGCCCGGCACTCCAGGCTGGCTGCCAGGGCTGTGCCCGTGGCTCCCGGCGCTCCTGGCACGGCAGGCTGGAGTCCTGCTGGCCTCTGCTGGGCAAATCCAGCCCTGGCTCCAGCCCAGCCAGCCTGAGCCAGCCAAAGGGAGCCCCAGAGCCCGGGGTGGCTGCTGCTGCAGCGCTGGGACCCTCCCCGAGCCCTTCTGGGGAACAGAGGCCCAGCTGAGCACACCAGGAACAATCGGCCCACGCTGCCAGAAATACCAGAAACCCAAGAGCACTGCCCGGCTCTGGGCTTTGGCGTTTTGGTGGTGGTTTGCTGGGGATTTTTTTTGGTCTTTTTAACTTGTGTAGTACTTCAACAAAAAGTTAAGGATTCTTAAGAAATGGGTGATGGGGAAGCCCAGATTGGTGGGGACACTTCAAGGATGCTTCATTTCCTCCTTGACTCACCTGCAAGCATGAACCCCACCTCCTTCTGCACCCTGTGGTAGGAGAGTCTGTGATAAGTCTGTCTCCCTGTGCTTGGGCATCCTTGGGGGATTGATCTCTGCACCCAGAGCTGGCTCCAAATGGGGTTCTGAGCCCCACCACGGTGAGGCTGAGCTTTGTCCTTGACTGTCAACCACCAAATCCCATCCTTCCTTCAAGGGAAGATTTTTGAAGATGCACCAAACTTCCCCTGTGGTGGTTTGTCCTGTTTTCTGGTGTGGATAAACGGGTTGCTTGCTGCAGCTCCAGCCTCTCCTGCCAGCAACACCAACAGTGCAGCTTTCACTGTCTCTTTTTGTGCCTCACCAGGCATTTCCAATCCCAAAAGTCTATTTCAGGAACCTAAACAAAAACATACAGCCCAATCAATCATGAGTCCATATTTAGGTGCTGGTGCTTAAAAGCCATTTACTTCTGGTTCCAAGAGCATCCCATAAAAACACACAAGGAAAACTTGGCAATTTTTGTCTGGCATTGTTTCTTAGAACATAAATTTTATTTCTGCCTTACAGGCAGGCATTCAATGTCCCTGACACAGCTGATGCCTGAGCCACGATGGAGGAAGCACAATATTGGTGGCAGTGTGAACAGGGAGGATGGCCCAGGATTGCCCCAGCTGGGCTGGCACAGGCACTTCCAGCAGCCCTGAAGGGAAGCAAAGCCAGCTGAGCCAACACTTCAGCCCAGTGCTGCTCCAGCAGCAGCATCCCAGTGCTGCAGGGCAGGAGAACGACCAAAGCCACTCTGGGTCACAGCAGGGCGACCTCCAAATCAAAAACACAGCCATCCTCCCTGAGCAGCCTCTTAAGCAAGGTTGTCTTCCTGGAAAGCTCAGCTGGGCTCATTCCATTAGCACTTACAACCCAGAAATGCCACCCCAGGGAACATTCTTGTGGATGTGACCCTGAAACTATAGAAAATCCAACCAAAAGCATTGCTGAGCAAAACCCCAACGCCCAACTTCTTCAGGAACACTAAGAGGCTGTTAATTTATTCCAAATGTGGGAGGACTCAAACTGCAGTGGAGCTGCCTCTGGCAGCAGACAGGAGCCCAGTCTGTGGGTGGGTGCTGGGCTATGCTGGCAGTGCTGCAGGGAGACCTGAGGAATAACTCCAAACACTCTGGGATTGGGCACACGAGCACAGATGTGCATCCAGAGGGCGTGCAAAGGTGCAAGGAGAGACCCACTCAGCCAGTGCTGCTTCCCTCCTGGACAGCCCCATCCCCAGCAGCAGTGAGAGCAGGGCTGAAACCCGGGCCACCCTTTGCCTACAGCACAGCTGCCACTGCTTCCCCACGGCTGGGACACCCAGTGACCAACACACTGCACTGGAATCAAAAACAAGTTTAATCTTTCGATTCAACTTCATAAAGATGGAAAACGGCAATCATCCCGTACACATTCCATCTGAACAGGCCGCACGCACCCAGGAAAAATAACCCAGAATTATTGAAGATTCAGTACCTTTTATGCAAAAGAAAAGCAGGATACATGAAGTACCTGCCCACTGGCTGATTTACTTAAACCAACAGCCAACCCCTGTGTTCATGCTTCAGTCAAAAGTTTTAGGGTTTATATTTAACACACCCAACATTTACACAGAGGTTATTTGTTCCACACAGCCAGCTGAACTATGTTTCTTTTCCAACCCCATAAAGCTGCTAAGCTATTTCTACTTTTAAGAAATCATATACGAAATCTGATAAAAAATTTTCAAGGACAATTAGAACACCTTGTACATGACTTAACAGACAAGTAGAGCACAGACCATGCAGCAGTGTTATTGTAAGGCTGGGATCTTCACAGGTTCCTTTTCCCAGTGAATGTCCAGTGCTGGTTTGATTCACTATTTCCTGCTAGTGCAAGGATTAAAGAAAGGAAGTAGGAGTAAGGTACGTGCTTAAAAAAAAAAAAAATCCAACACAACAAAAAACCCCAAATAAATGAAACTCCCAAAACAAGCAAACAAACAAGCAAAGCCCAAAACGGTTTCCCAACTTTTTAGCCATCCCACTGGGTTTCCAAGTGCTTCCCTCAAGCTGTGCTGGGCAGGAACAGCAGCTCCAGCCCAGCCTGTGATGGGCAGGTCCCTGCAGCTGCCCGAACCTCCCGGTGCTCCCCTTCACCCCATCAGCCCTGGCAGCAGCAGGGCCCCGCTGCCACATCCCACGGAGCCAAGGGAGATGGGAAGGAAGCAGCCACCGGGCACGGCCCGTGTGAGCACAGCGACCTGGCCCTTCGGCACACGCCGCGGACC